GGTGGGACGCTTCTTTGATCACCACAATACTTGCTAACAGCTGAGTAAAAATGAGACTTGGAGTTTCAGGCTCTGTATCTGACTCCAGATAGGATGTTTCTTGGTGGGCACAGACTCTTTTGATCATTCTCCTCCCTCACTTCCTCTGCCTCAACCAATGTGACCCTTTGTGTCCCATCTTAATCCTATCTTTTCCCCACTTGTGGCTGTTTGCTTTCTCCTCAGTGACCCAGTACAAATTTATACGCTTCCACCTTCCCATCCTTGTGTCAGTCCACTTGCTCGTGTAGTGGTAGAATAGGTCCTTTGGAGTCATCCCTCTACTACCAGCTTTCTTCTCCACACTCATTCCCACAGCCGTATCACCCCACTTGGCTTTTTAACCCATTTTTCCTTACTGAACCAGTACCCTGCACTCTGGTTCTTTGTCAGGTTTGTAGCCCCTCCTTCCCCTTGTCAGCAGCAGCCCAGAGCCACATTTTCTGGGAAAGTTGTGCTCAGTTCCAGGCTATACTGTGCTCAGCATGATAAAAATCCTCAGAGATCTGAGTTACTAAGATCTAAGAAATCTTCACTGCTCATGAACAAAGAATGATTTTCCCAAAGCCTACAACTTGGCCAAATACAGGCAAATCTGATGGAGCCAGCAAAAAGCACATCCCTGTCTATTTTAAAGTCTGTGATTCAAACATGGAACAACAGGGACATTTGTTTTGTTCTGTTTTAAAGGGGAAAAAAGTAACTGTGGGTTTTTTTTTTCTCTATAACTTCGTTCTCAGGAATGGTTGAACACTTTTGCCTCAATTTTCCCCTTGAAAATGCAGTGTGAGGCAGACTGTGAGATTAGAAAATGTCAGCCTATTGTTTCACTTGACAAACCTTGCTAACTTGTGCTATAAGTCCCCTCTCAGAATTAAGGAAAGCACAGGTTCTAAAATACTATCCCAGACCTAGTTCAAAAAATGAAACACCATTTTGTCCCTATTTTCTCTCTTTTATTTTCATATTTGCCTTTTGAGTCATTGATTCTATTGGTTAGGTAAAAAATTGCCACAGCTGATACATGTAGCAACTGTGCTTCATTCTAGATAAAAGTAAAAGCTAACTGAGCTGCTTTATGGAACAGATACAGTAGAACTTGAATCACTTATGCATGGGTGGTTCATAATTAGCATAAACTACAGTGGGTTCCTGAGTGAAAAACAGTACATCTGTTTGCTGCAGCTTTAACTTGAAAAAAGTGCCAGTTCTCCCCTCAGGTGGAGAACATCAATCACACAGCAGGCTGGAGAAGCCACACCCTTTGAAATAAAAAACAGACAACTGTCCCACTAATCCCCCAAAATGGTCTGTGCACAAAGCTGTATAAGGACTGGTGTTTAACAATGCTGGTTCACAGGTGATGACCTAGCTCCAAAGTGAAAGATAAAGATGACTATATGATACCTCTCCTGGGCTAGTTCACAAAATCTTCCTCTCTCAAGGTCTATGGACCCTAACCCTTCAAATTATCTAGCTTCTCCTGTAGCTGAAACAATAATAGCCACTGCCCAAAACACACTCCTCTTATAAGGTGGGAGTAAGAATTAAGCCATTCGGACCTAGGGGTTTTCCCTAGAGTCAGTGTATTGGTTAAGGAAGCTACATATTTGCAAGAAAACAGCAGCTAAACTATCAGAAAAGTTAATAGAAGGCAGGAGGAGTCACCGATGACCAGCACTATTAGGATGACCTTGAGAAAAAAGTGCAAGTGTGCAGTCTTGGGAGCCATGGTATTTGGAAAAAGGCATGAATGGTGAACAGAGAACCTTTGTGATTCTTCCTGTTCTCAGGGAAACATGACTATGTATTTTCTTTCCAAATAAAACAGATAGCATTGAAGAAACCCTAAACTTATCAATTTCTCCTCCAAATAACCTCCTCAAATTTTGTGTGGTTCAAGAAAGGGAATAATGATTTTCTTTTGCAAACTAAGGGTGTGTGTGTGGGTGTGGGTGTGTGGGTGTACACATATATTTTCATAAAATAATTTAAATAGGTTTTATTCACCCGGTGGTCTTTAACTGTTAACAATATTAAGCATGTTCTTCAGCAATTTTCTCTCTCTACAGCTGGAGGTAAAAGTTTAAAATATTGAAGACCATAAATAAAAAATACTTTAAAAAACCCTCTTCAATCCATAATGTTCTTTCATCCATGGACCTACATGAGGATATTGATTAGAAGTTGACAAGTACTTCCTCCTCTTTTCCTGTTCTTATTACTGGTAGTTGACCTCCATATGAATGTCATCCAAGCTATTTAAGGTTGGATAATGTCCAAAAAAATGAAAAATGAAAGGAATTGTTTAGGTATGCCAGTGACTGCAAATTTCAAATAACTTGGGTCTGGAAAAGAAACAAAAATAGGAGTGCAGAAAGTTGTGTGGGGGTTGGTTTTAAGAAGGCTGGTTCACAGATGATGACTTGGAGCCAAACAGAAAAAAAAGGTGTGGGGATGAAGAGAATTCATTTTAGAAAAATAACTGAAGCAGAAACAGGAGAGATGATTAATTTGACTCTCTGGCCTTGTTTACATGGGAAGTTTTTAACAGTTATACTGGTACCTCTTAAGAAAGACTTTTCTCAGAATAATACACATTTTTCTTCTATTGGAAGAGTGCCCACATGGGGGTGTGAATGTTATGGCAGTATATCTACATTTGTTTTAACTTACACATTAAAGTTGCAAGGGGAAAAAAAAAATCTATTAAATATGGCATTAGCAGTTGTTGCAGCCAGCTGAAGAAACAGACATTAGTTAACAGGCAAATCATTGAGTTCTATTATTAACTTCAAGATAGAGACTTATTCTCTATTCTCATATAATTCTGCACAGTGCTCAATGCTTGCAAAAAACTTCTTGATCCTGTGTGCCATGTAACATGGCTCTATTCCAAATTTCAATTCAAAACCAATTTTTCAACTAGTTTTCCAGTGCTTGCCAGCACTATTCAATTTTGCAGGAGTTCTTATACCACTGCAGTTATTTAAATATTCTGCCATCTGGCCTGCTTGTCCAACTTTAGTCTTTAAACTGTAAAACCACCAATATGTAAAAAATGAAAAAGCCTTGATAACTTACATACCCTGTTCATGATTACCTCTTAAATAAATGGCATAAATATGATACATCCAAACCATCCATTTCTTTTTCTTTTTTCCCATAACCATGAATGCCATGACTCCTCGGGGGCTGGGCGGGGCATGGTGAGCTCCTGCAGGTGGTGGTGGTGCTGTTGGCAGTGGGAGTGTAGCAGCTGCAAGCGGGGAACTCTCACAGGCAGCCACAGCACTTTTCGGCAGTGGGAGGGGTGTGGCGAGAGCTGACCAATGGTCAGTGACCACCCCCAGCTGCCAGCAGAGACCAGTGGCGATCACAGACTGCCTGCAGCTGCCACTGGTGGTGTCAGTGGTGAGGGGGGGATAGCGAGCAGTGACCACATGCAGGCACCACCAACAGTGTCGGTGGCACCTATTCGCAGAGGGTGCACCACCACGTGCACCCACTAGGTGTTGCCAATGTCCGTAACAACCTTTCACTCCTCTGTTCCCTCCTTTCCCTTTATGAGACCCTATTGTGTCAGGTATTAATTCATGTATAAGCAGTATTGTGAATTTCCTTTCCCCCATTCACTTTTCCTTGCTTGTATTGGCAGTGTAGAATACATTTACTCTGAGCTGAAACCTTAGCTGTCAGAGTCCTATATACTGTATTCTTCATTCAAGAAAACCTTCCTTAGGTTTCCTCCTACAAGACCTGTTACCAATTCCCCCAGCCTCAGAGAGACATTGAAACCTAGAGTGGAGTGAAATCAGTACACTGTACACACGCCGAGGGGCTATGGGAAAACAGAAAGATCAAACTGTAAAACACAGACTGAGATCAAACTGTAAAACATAGTAAACCAAGTAAAACACACCATCTACTCACCTTGAGTGACTAAGGTTATCTGGATATGATACATTTACTACTGATGGTGGTAGGCCTCACTGCTCTAAGAAGGCTACTTTCTAAAATGGAAGCAAGTGTAGCCATATCCATGCAGCATTGCAGGCAGGCTTATTGGCTTAAGGGTGGGGTAACAGAGTATCACTCAGCAGTAATAACTAGCCCTTTTAGAAGGCCATGGAGATAGAGATGAGCTACTTCTGATTTAAAGGACAGACCACCAAGAGCATTATTAGCATGCTTGAGAGTGCCATTGCAAGGGATGGCAAGCTTATCATGTAGGCACAATCAAAGAACATTCATCAATAAAAATAGAAAAGTATTTTTTTTTTTTGCTGCTTCACTTCACTGGTCTTTAAAAGATATATACATTGGACTATTGGGCGTGACTTCATAACATGGTTTTAATAAATAAATATAAGCATTTAGCATACACTTGATGCAAAATATGTCCCGCCCAACATTATTGTGCAAGTGAATACAACAAACAGGGCTTCCCTTTAATAGGAATATGCCTCCAATATTACAGCGAGGTAAAATACCTCAATATCTATCTAATATCCATGCCCTTAATTACAGAGAATTATTCTCTATTCTCTCACAGTCCTGTAGGATCAAGATAATGACAATACACAGTTTATTATTATAAGTCCCTTCTACCTCTCCAGTACTGGAAGCAACTCAGTTATGACATTGAAACATATAGTATGGAAATTAACCCACAAAGCTAGTCTAGTGGAAGTCCACATTGTAAAAATAGTTTCCCAGGTTGTGTTTTATTCAATTTGGGGCAGGGGATGTATTTTAGTAAGAAAACAATCTTGCTATCAGGGCTACAAATCTGTATCTACATTTTTTGAGAGAGCTATGAAAACATGGTGTATGCACCCTATTGTACAATTGCTGGTTAATATATAACAGAAAAAAAAATCTAATGCTCGCAATAAGATCGACCGTGCCATAATTTAAAGATTTTACATCAATAGTGTGAAATAATATTTATCTTTTACCTTGTTCTAAAGTTTGTAGGATGGGGATGTCCATCATATAGTGATAAATAATCATATTCCTCTTCTAGAGCAAAGGACTGAAAGACAATCTGTATTCTGTTTCGTTCTTCTGCTATTATTACCCATGTACAGTTTGCGCCATTTGGATATCCATATGGAAAGCCCGGACTTTCTATAGTGCCATTAAGTCCTTTTAAAGTTCCACCACAGGTATAAATAAATCCTAAAAAAGAAAGAAAAGCAATGTGATACAGTGTTAACATATAAACCTACAATAAAATTTGCCACTAAAATTCATGATCTCTAATAATAATCAAAACCATTTTAACCAAAAATTATAGTCTCACATTACCTGTAAAGAGACAACACTTTGAAACTGGGTCATGAACACACCATGTAGAAAATGATGCATAACAAATTCAATATATTGGCTTCTCTGAGTTTAGAAACCTTCTGTATTGTATGCATTGAAACATCTTTTAGCAACCATATGTGTGTGAAAGCTTTGTAACATATTTGTATTTGAGTAAAGATGCAACTCCACATTTGGGTTGTACTTAAGGATAAATCTTCTATTAAGGTTGTATCCCATAAATTTCCTTGGGATTAGTTGGAAAAAGGACATATTCAATTTATTCTCATTTTCTGTGTCTACCTGTCACAGATGACATTTACAGAACCCAGTTTACTACTATTTTATTTTATATAGCAGTGTACCATAGTTTATAGGACCAAGTGAAGGAAAAAGATCTCCTATGAACAGGTTTGCCTGATCTAGAAGTCACATATACAGTAAGTGTTTTACCTGAGGCTATAAATTAACTCGAAGGATTCATTTTTATGACAGTTTTGCCTACCCACTTTCATTTGTCACCAGTCTCCACTGCCAGGAGTCTGTTTTATTTATCTCTTCCCAAAACTCTTTCCTCCATCCATTCTTGATCTATTTTTAAATCTCATTTATCTGTTGTTATTTATTATTTAACTTCAACTGTGTTATTTAACTGTATAATAACTTTGGGGATACAGTTTGTAGGGAA